ATATATATAGGGGGTGGATCCAATGAGACCACTCCTTAAAATGAGCATGTGAGACTCAATCTTAGCCACTCATTTTGTCTAGATCAAAATCAATTAAAATATACAGTATTGACTTTCGAAAATCGTTGACTTCTGTCGTTGACCGTTGACTTCTTACGTTGACTCCGTCTTTGACCATTGACTTCCACGTTGACCTGTTGCCCCTAGTATGCAGTATGTATGGAGTAAATATGCATCTAGTATAATGCATTTAATATGAACTAAATATGCATGCGGTATGAATTACACATGCAGTCCTTATGAACTAAATATACACCAATAATATCAACTAAGTATGCACCTGTTATTAACTAAATATGCATCTATTATGAACTAAATATGCATCACGAATGAACTAAATATGCAGTGAAAATATGCAATAAAATGTACATTTTATATAGGTAATTTATGATGCATATTTAGTTAATTTATGATGCATATTAAGGTAATTTATGAAGCATATTTAGTTAATAAGAAATGCATACTTGTGACATTTAAATTAAATATATAATGATGCGTATATAGTTGATTTATGATGCATGTTTAGTTAATTCATGATACATATTTAGTTCTTACGAAATGCATATTTAGTTAATGAACAGTGCATACCTAGTTTATTTGTGATCCAATCATAACAATTTATTCGTGTAGATCAATAACTTATATTAATCAATTGAAAATTAAAATCAATTATATAATAAAAATCATTAATTATTACATTTAATTTAATTGTATCAAAAGTATATTCCATTGCATATTTTCATTGCGTATTTAGTTCATTCATGATGCATATTTCATTAGTAAGATGTACATATTTAGTACATAAATAATACATACATAGTTGATATTATTGGTGCATATTTAGTTCATAAGGATGACATGTGTAATTCATATCTTATACATTTTTAGTTCATATTAAGTGCATAGTACTGTATGCATATTTACTTCATACATAATACATACTAGGGGTCAACGCTGGAAGTCAATGGTAAACGCCGAAAGACAACTGTCAATGTCGGAATGTAACGGCGAAAGTCAACGATCAACGTCGGAGTAAACGGTCAACGCGGGAGTCAATGGTCAATTGTAAAAAAAATATTAAAATAATAAAAATAATAAAAATAAAGAATTAAGTAATAAAAATAGAGAATTATTATTTAAATGAAGAGTTAAATCTTGGCCACACATCATGTAACAATCTAGTGGCTAGGAATGAGTCTCAC